GGGCTGCCGCCCCCCCAACCCCCCCGCTACTTTTATATTTGTTTACAGGGATTGACATGCCCTCCTACTTGAATCATCATTTCTTTGACCCCGTCACACGATTTGTGGGTGATGCTAGGGATGTTGGTGGGACATGCGGGGTATATTTCGCGAGAACATGCTGTAAAATACGACACTTTACTGGCCCGGCAGAGATTGAATTGCACCCCTGTTTGAATCATCACTTTTTCGAGCATCCAATTTCGCGAGAAAATGCTGCAAAATACGACATTTTAGGTAATCTGTGTAGTCCGTGTATGTCTGTATGTATGCATTTCTTCGAACATCATAGGGGAAGCCACCCCCGCCAACCCTCCCGCTGCCTTGTAAATTCTATCACACCCTTTCTTGAATCATTGCACCCCTACTTGAATCACCACTTCTTCCGACCTCATGGGGGGGCTGCCGCCCCCCCCCAACCCCCCCCCCCGCTACGTTTAGATTTTCGACAGAGATTTAATTAATTGCACGCCTAGTTGAATCATCAATTCTTCGAACATCATGGGGGGGGGCTGCCGCCCCCCCCAACCCCCCCGCTACTTTTTAGACTTTTTGCAGAGATTTAATTGCACCCCTATTCAAATCATCACTTCTGCAAACAACATCGTGGGGGGGCTGCCGCCCCCGCCAACCCCCCCGCTACTTTTATATTTGTTTACAGGGATTGACATGCCCTCCTGCTTGAATCATCATTTCTTTGACCCCGTCACACGATTTGTGGGTGATGCTAGGGATGTTGGTGGGACATGCGGGGTATATTTCGCGAGAACATGCTGTAAAATACGACACTTTACTGGCCCGGCAGAGATTGAATTGCACCCCTGTTTGAATCATCACTTTTTCGAGCATCCAATGTCGCGAGAAAATGCTGCAAAATACGACATTTTAGGTAATCTGTGTAGTCCGTGTATGTCTGTACGTATGCATTTCTTCGAACATCATAGGGGAAGCCACCCCCGCCAACCCTCCCGCTGCCTTTTAAATGCTATCACACCCTTTCTTGCAGAGATTTAATTGCACTCCTGTTCGAATCATCACTACCCCGCTCTGTTTTTCTTAATTGTTTTTTTGTATTTTTTGCTGGGATTGAAATGCCCTCCTGTTTGAAGCATCATTGTTTTGACCCCGTCAACCCGCCAGCTACAGTTTTGGATTTTGTTAGCCACGATTTGTTGGTGATGCTAGGGATGTTGGTCGGACATGCGGGGGATGTTGAAAACGATGCTGGGGATGTTGACGAGCTAGTGTAAAATGCGTCAATTTCGCGAGAAAATGCTGTAAAATACGACATTTTTCTGGCCCGGACGAAAAACGAAAAAAATTCCCAAAACAAAACGAAAAAAAATCCCAAAATAAATCCGCACCCATTTCTTTTTGCTTTCCAGTTTTTTGCATTCTTAATTTCTTCCTCTGAATCTGTGGAGAAGTCTGAAACTCATCACTCATCACTGGTCATAGAAACCTTCTTTTGCAGCCATCTACCAGAAAAACAGGCCAGTTTACTTAATTAACAATATAACTATTTCTTTAGGTGTCTTAGCATTATTCTACTATACCATGAAAACAATGCCCGTAGTGTATAACACCTTTTGCTTTCACACGCTGATACCGCTTGTTTTGTTTGTTGCATGCTGTTTATTTGATGTGCTTCATTTCTTATGCTGTTCAATGTTATAGTTTCGCAAGTATAGTTGTTCAATGCGTCATCACAAAAATCATATGACAGTCCCTTCTTCATTTTATGGTTTGCTATTCCTTTGCTCTTCTTTTCTTCTCATCATTGTGTACCTTAAAAACATTAAGATTCCGGTTTCAACGCTATAAAGTTTGTTGCTCTCCCCCCATCTGCTTCATCCTTGAAAGCATCCTACATCAATTATTTAGACGCTAATAAGCTTTACGGGCTGGCAATGTGCGAGAAACATATCATCAGTGAAAATCTTATAGGAGTTGGGGAAGGCAAACGTGAAGTTAAACCGAAATGACAAACGGAATGAGTATGGGAATGATGAAAAAGTGTTATATACCGACTCTGACAGTTTTGTACTACATATTCAAACAGAAGATGCAAATGAAGACTTTAATGATATTAAATCACATCTGGGTTTCAGTGGTTATGGCCCTCAACACACATGCTTTGATAAGTCCAGGAAAAGGGACGGTTTTGTTTCATCATAGCCATCTCCTAAGTACTTATTAGCTGCCTTTCATTGAAACCCGACACATTCCACTTCCCAACCCCTTCTCAACCATGTTATAAAGTTCTTCATCGTGTAAAAGTTTTTAATAACATCACGCCCCAAGCAAAGTTAGGCAATGTGTTGTAATGGGCGGGGTCTAATGCATAACCTGAGCATTGTTCTCTGAAAATTTCACCTACATCGGCTTCTAGTATTGGATTGGTCTACATACAAGTCGGGAAAATGACCGAGGTTTTTAATTTTACAGTGCTTCCATATTAGTTTTGCTCTTTCATAGTCAGCGCATGAAGCTTCTTTCCCGCGATGCGCAATGGACGTGAGGCTGATGGCTTAGGAGCCGGCATGGATGATTCTTTTTTCTTGGGATCGGCAGAGGAGCCTTTGTTCTTTCTGCAAGGCTTCCTTCTCGTCAGGCAATAACAGTTCAATGCCTGGCTTTCCTGGAGGAATCGTCTTCTCTTTTCTGACCTTTGTCATGTTCACCTTGATGAGTCGTGTTCCTGGAACGAGGCAAACCATTGCTCCTTCAAGAGAAACGACCTCCCTTTACGTCAAATTCCTCCTGTGCTTTCATTCAAACGAATCTTGGGCTTGTCTTCTTATGAGCAAAATACCTTCGTCCTAGAGGTTTGGAGCTCATTCGAAGATGCTGTGCAAGGTCTGTCTGGATTGATGGGCTTCTTGGAATGCCTGCTTTGGCAGTTGCTTGATCTCGTTGGCTGTCAGCTCTTCCTCATTCCTGTCGATCGTCAACTGAGTTGGTGTTGCAACATCAAGATTGGAGGAAATCTGCTGGTCGTCTTCCGAATGCGAGTTCCATTGTCTTACACCCCCATAGGTGACGGTCTGATTTCTGACATAGTGCGTGTCCTGCACTGGATGCTGGAACTGCTTGACGTCCATGCCGAATGCCTTACATGTGATCTTGTCGCACTGCGGCGTGTGCTTGATGGGCATGTACAGGTTCCGCTTTTGACTGACACTAAGGAGTGTCGGTACAGTGGCTTGTTCAAGCATGTCGATGTTGGTGCTAGCTGGAGGTGTTGTGTGATACTTGAGTTGCAAGGTCCAGTTGACCTTGGCTATGTTTCCATCGACAAAAGTGAACTTGGTCTCGGCCGGGATGTGCTCAGGAAATGAGGTTTTTTATGGGTTCGATGGCCTGTGTAAAACGCTGGATTGCATGCCAGCTGCCCATGGATCTGGTACACCCATTGCCCAGAATCGCATAGGTCGGATTGTGCTGAGGGTTGATGACAGGCGCCATCAGCTTTGTTGACAAGTTGTGTGCTGAAACTGTATCGGCTTGGATCAGTTCGTTGCGGGTGGCTTCGTTTTCATGCTACTGAAATGCATCACGGAATGCCATCGTTGCTTGTCCGGTGATGGATGTCTCATGAAACGAGAACCAACCTGTTTCACTCCATTTCCATGATGATCCCGTTCTTGGCTGTCCAACCACCAAAGCAGGCTCTGAGAGCTCAGCAGCCTGGGCTCGCAGACGGCTGTTTCCTTTCTCACATTTGCCTTTTCCTTTGCCATTGTCATATGAGGGGTAACCATTGTTCCCGTCGTAGGGATTTTGCCCGGATTCTAGGATGAAGAAAGTGTTGCTTCGGTTGCCTCTTCTCTTGGAGGTCGGATGGGTGGATCTTGGACGGATGTCCTGGTCGTGATGAAGAGGTGGTGGTGTTGCGTCTTCAGCATCCCAGAGGAGTAGTTGTCGAGTGGTGTTTTTCAAAGACATTGCGCTGATGAGTCTTTCCCTCTGCTGATCCGACAGCTCGTTCTGGAGTATGGAACATTATGCTTTGTCCAAAGGGAAACGCTTCCTTTTGTGTCTGCTGCATGCCCCTGACGACGTTGTCTGCGGACCTCTGGGTCGTCTTCGGCAAGCAACGTTGGAGGCGGTACTTGGGCGCCGGCGACTTGCTGATGCTGAGCAATTGTCCTAAGGGTTGCTTCTTGCACGGATGCTCGAAACTTTGGTGACTGTGCAGTGTATGTTGGCATCATGTCCATCCAGGCTGCCTCAATCTCTTTAGAAGGATGTCGAACTTGGATGTGAAAATGAGGAACTTTCAAAGTTTTCTGCTGAGAGGCCTGTACAGGCACACATTGGTTTTGCTCTTGAGAAAGTACTGCTTCAGCGTGTTCTTGAAGGAGTTCACCTTCTTCGGGATGTTGAAGCAATGTATTGTCGAGAACTTCCTTGTACATGTATGCATCTCCAACGAGCCTGCTTTTAAGGAGCGGTTTTTTGGCTGCTTCAATGGTAGTGAAGGTTGTCCAGTCATCGGCGAGTTCTTCATATCTTAATCAGCACACTTTGGCCTGCGCTCGAGTAGCCCTACGCTCTAGTAGCCCTCCATTAAGCCTTCTCCATCTGATGACATCTCGTATGGGTTGATGCGGGAAACCCCCCGCCACCACAATTTAGGTTCGAAACTGGAGCACCAAATCACGTGATAACAGGTGCCTTGTGCTAATGGTCTCTTGTAGGTCCCTTCTTCTATTCCGCACGATGACCCAATATGCCAATGGTGGATGGCAGTGGGTAAAACCGGAAAAGCGGTCCGCAATTAATCCCCTTTCTCTGCCTGTACGTGTACGGTATGTACAGTGGCAATAAAGAGTAGAAGATGGGCCTTGAGCCAAATGGTTGCATGGAGATCAACGTATGAATCAAACACAGAAGGGAGCAGGAGGAAACACTTTTTGTCTTTTTTTGGGCCACATCCTTCACACTTGCGCATGTAGGTCCAGGAACTCTGTCCGCCGAGCAGAACGCTGGTTTCTCCTCTCCGGCGACAGGCCGGCAAGCCTTTGGGAGTGCAAGGCCACTGCAGATGTTGGTTTGCGTCCGGTGTTCTACCTCCAGAGCGGGAACTTCCATGATTACCGGGAGGAGACTGCTCTTGATTGGGGCACGGCAAGTTTTGTGTCAGTTGGTTTGCTTGTTGGCTTGGGCTGCTGGGCAAGTCCCAGCCTGCTTAGGGACTCCTCAGTGAGACGTTGGCGGGTGACGTAGGCGTTGGTCTTGTACCACATTCACATTCTATGTACGAGCATGTGGTAAACACCAGCGGTTTGGCTGATATCCGCGAGTTTTTGGATGGGAGTTGCGAGGCAGGGTGTTTGTGTGTGTGTGTGAGTGCACAAGTTTGTGAAGCCTGTGCGCAGATGAGTTGCCAGACTCGCGTGAGGGAACATGTGGTTGGGTTAAACCTGTGTGGCTGAGTGTCAGTGTCCGTCACGCTTTGGTCAAGTCACAATTGACAACGTCAGCAAGGAGAACATCATGGAAGGCAATGGGCAGACATCATGCCTGCGTTTGATAGGTACATTGACACGGATGACTCACGCATTGCGCAGGTGCTGCTTTAGCTAACATTTCGCGCCATATAATGCTAGTGTTCGCAAGATGTCACTCGTCCAAGTGCTGCCGCGAAGGATCATCAATCTACGGACCGGCAGACCAGGTCATGGCCAGGAGCAGCTGTCCCAGGAGCCAGCGCAGCTGACGTTGGGCCTCCACCATTGTGCAAAGCTTGCCAAGGGAAGTCCTCACATCGTCGACAATGCCCAGGGTTGAAGAAGGAAATGAAGTGCGGCTTCCGATGTAGCCGCAAGATGAAACAGCACCTCAGGACCAACGCTTGCAGCCTTGCGCGGAGAGACTGAAGTAGCCTGTGTGTGTGTGAGTGTTTCGAATGATGACTTACTTGTGTTGAGCAATCTTCCCTCTTGCGCACAGGATGTTTTGCCATTGTGAGCAGAAGCTGTGGGGGCAGGCGAAGGCTCGCCCGGCTACGCTGCCGATTGCTACCAGTTCCAGCACACTGAATCCAGAAGACACAGCCGCCAATCAGCTAAGACTGTTTGATTCATTTTCCGGCGAAGTACGCAGCCTGCTTTGCACCATGCCTGACCAGCTGCGCGCCGAAATCATGACCAGACTGCAGGACATCCGCAAGCTTGCCCAGGTCTTCAAGCATACGGAGCTGGGAAGAGTCCCACTGTGCTGCCCTGACTCCATCTCCCTGCAGATGGCATCGCTGATCTCTCTGATGTCAAGCGACCCTTGCGAAGTCCAGATCTCTGCCCTCAGCGACGGCAACACAATCTGCATCGACAACACGTTTGGCAAGCGCCTCGTGCTCAAACCAGGCCTGGGCGAAGCTGCCGAGCACCAAAGATTGACCCTCGAGCAATTCCAGAGCGCCACGTGGGCAACCGCTAGCCAACAGGCCGCGCAGACTGAAGAGGATTGGAAAGCCGAGCTGGTTGCTAGTTTCTTTTGCGAAGAAACACAAGGCTTTCTGTCTTTCCCAGAATTCGCAACTACTGCGCAATCCCTGTTGGATACAAAGTCCCCGATGTTTGCATCCTTGGGATTTGCGCGCAAAGATGCGGTGAAGACAGAGGCAAGAGCAGTCTGGCAGAGGATCCTGCTTCAAGACAGGTGGCATCAGCGCACTAGTCGTGGTCAGGGAAGTGGCTTCCTCATGTGCAATGCGCAGGTTCAGCTCGAGAACATACACATTCACGGGACTACCCAAGGTGAGCGAGCGCTGGTAATTGCCGACGATGCATCCGTGATTCTTCGAGGCTGTCGTGTGTCAGGTCGCGGGAACGGCGTCTACCTCACAAACAAAGCCTCGCTGGAGATGACGAGCACGTTTGTTTGTGATTGTGGGAGTTCCGGAGTGGTGGTCGCAAACACTCTGGGGACCTGCCATATGGAAGACTGCCGCATCTCCGGCAATGCCAACGTTGGCATTGTTCTTGGCGGGCCGAACGTCACAGGAGAGTCTTGCGTGATTCAGGAAACAGCGAGCACAGAGAACAAGACTCACGGGATATCGCTTTTCGGACGTGCTTCTGCTAAGTGGTGCGGTTCTGGCAGAGAGGCATGTGACTTGCTGAGTGGCAACGGGCTATCCGACATCAAAGAGGAGGATGGAAGTTGTTTGGTTTTGCCTCGTGACCAGGCGATAAATTAGTGTTGAAGGCTGGGGTTTGTATAGCAGTGCTGAGAGCACTTTAAGTCCTCTCAAGGTACGCTGAAATCTGTCAAGGCTCTTGCCCGGTAGGATCTGAACAATTCACATGCTGGCTGCATTGAAGCAGTCTTTGCAAGTTGCGCGATCAGGCCAACGGATTCTGTACAGCAGCGTCGCGATTGAGCTGAGAGCACTTTAAGTCCTCTCAACGGCCAACGCTGAAATCTATCAAGGCTATTGCCCAGTAGGATCTGAAAAGGACAGATGCTGGCTGCGTTGAAGCAGTCTTTGCAAGTTGCGCTTCTCTGAAGTCTTTCAAGACTTGGAAGTCCGCTTGGGTGGAATGATGCAGGCCATTGACCACCTTGCGTAGGGTGTTGTGGAGACTCAACCTATCCTAGCAACGCAGCGCAACGCATGTTCACTAGACACGAGAGAGAAAGTTGTTTTGAAGGTGTCAGAAAAGACTTGAATCGCCGCTGCATTCCTTGATGCTGTGGAAGTGGCAACTGAATGTACATTCATGCAATATGTGCGTTGACAGTCATCTTCACGCGCTCACATGTGTACACACATTAGTTCCTCCACAGCAACATGCAGTTTTTGCATTGAACAGGCTACCCGTAGCAGGGCTTTCCCGACATTCGCCCATGTGCCTCTTGGCGGAGTGTGGGGATGACGCGGGTAGCAGTGAGGCGCTTCCTTCTGGCGACCGCGGTGTATCAAGCGTTTGTCGCAGCGCGCGAGCCAGGCGAGCAGCCAGCCTTTGCGCCTGTAAGTGTCTCGCGCTGCGGACGCTTCGGTTGCCGGAGGCATGGTCATGGGGTCCACGGGATTGGCTCCCGCATTGCGCTTTTAAACTTCGCGCAGTTCCGAGAGAAGATTGATTCAGGAGAGACATTTCGTGCTCAGCAGGACGAGCACGAACTGGAAAGGGAGATAAACGAGTCGTTAAGACGGCTGCTGGGGCCGCTACCGGCTGCCAAAGATTTTGCTGGGAAGTTACGGCGGGCAACCGACAATACTACCTATGGACGAGGGCTCCAAGATCAGGCGATGTGTAAGATTAGACAAGCATGCAAATCTGTTCTTGGACATTGCAACATTAGAATCTATGGAAGCCAGCTGAAAGGCACATGCTCGAGTCCAGGCCAGAGCGACTTGGATTGTGCAGCGCAGTAACACACCCCCCAAGGCAGGCATTGATGTGACAGATCAAGAGAAAAATCAGATTAAGGAAGAGCTTCGCAAAATCCCTTGGGTGAGGGGACCAGACGGATCAGGTGAACCGGTGGTCACCGAAGAGGTAGCGATTAAATTTAGTGCTGTAGAAGATGGCAAGGTGCTCAATATTGACCTAGTTGCCAAGCCTCAACCAAAAATACGACAAGAGGGCTTTGCTCGTATGCTTGGATGTGCTGACCGCAAAGCCAACGAGATGTTCTTGATGCATTGCTTCAACGGAAAACCGGCGTTCCCAGCACTCCATGCAATTCGTGCGCTGAAACTGCTGCTGCCGCGCGACCGCCCACCAGGCTTGTTGTTGGAAGCAATGGCTATGCGAGTGGCATGTTTTTATGATTATGGGCTAGGCCCACAGAATCGAACCCATGAAATTCTTTGGTCCGCGCTTCTTGCATTGCGCACTTTGGAGGAGCTCAGGGCTGGGAATGAGTCGGAGGTGTTCGGCAAGGAGTTGACAGCAGACCTTGCAGCGCAGCATGGGTCGGGTCGTCCAGCACAGCGTGCTCGGGATGCTCAGGATCGCGTGAATTCAGCCGGAGATGACGTGAGCAAAATCCGCTGGTTGCAGAGGTGGAACCAAGACTACCCAGTGCCTAGTGACACATTCCAGGGAGATGTGCTGCGGCAACATGGAAAGCCGTCTCGAGGAAAGAAAGTGCAAGCTGGGTCTGCAGAGCGGGAGGCGCAGCGTAAGCAAACACAACAGCAGAGGAATGAGAAGAAATGGATTAAGCTGGGCGACGAGACCTTCTACCGCCACAAAAGTCGGCCAAATTGCCCCATCAGCCAACTGCTGAGCGGGAATGACCCAACAAAGCTCCGAAGGCTGTACAACGGAATGCTCCACGAAGGCTGTTTGAGTGATGATCTACATTATGACACCCAGGAAGTTCTGAGTGGAAAGCATGTTACAACGATCACGATGACAGATCTTAGACCAGGCGCAACTGGCAAGCTGACCTGCAGCGGTGAGCCAGCCGACACAAAGAATGAATCAAAGAGACGAGCGACAGAAGTTGCGCTCAAGGTTTGGCAAAGAATTTGGCAAGACGCGAACCAGACACAGCCTCCAGAGTCAAAAGCGAGCTTTGAGTTGGATCAGTGAAGCAAATGCTGATTTGAAGCTTGCCAGACATTCCTCAAAAACGCATCCGCTACCTCTGGCGACCGGCCCAACAGCAAGGACGTAATAGAATGGGCTAGCGCCCAGGTGCCGCCGACCCTTCCTTTGGGCAGGGGCTGGCAATCATCCCATAGTCTATGGGTTAGTCTACTTGCCCTTTGAAATCAAGCGAATTTGATGGAAAGTGTTTCATGTAGATGGAAATTGTTTTCTCGCCCTCCTTCCGTTTGGCACTGCAGCTGCTGCAGCGGGATCGGAACCGCCAAGCGCAGTGGCACGGCGTGCAAAAAGCGACGGAAAAGGGACCTTTGGCAGCAAGCACAAGAGCAGCCAAGGCACGGCCAGGGCGCAGCCAGCCAAGGCGCCCTCCGCTAGACCCAAGCGCAGTGGCACGGCGTGCAAAAAGGAGGCTTGCAGGGTGCCTAACGGTACCTTCGAACCCACTAAGAAGACTCGCCAGGGCCTCGCAGCCAAAGCCCTGCAGCAAGCACAAGACCAGCTAAGGCACGGCCAGGGCGCAGCCAGGGCGCCCTCCGCTAGACCCAAGCGCAGTGGCACGGCGTGCAAAAAGGGACCGAAAAAGAGCCGAAAATTGAGGTAGGGTGCCTAACGGTACAGAAGACTCGCCAGGGCCTCGCAGCCAAAGCCCTGCAGCAAGCACAAGAGCAGCTAAGGCACGGCCAGGGCGCAGCCAGCCAGGGCGCCCTCCGCTAGACCCAAGCGCAGTGGCACGGCGTGCAAAAAGGGACCGAAAAAGAGCCGAAAATTGAGGCTTGCAGGGTGCCTAACGGTACCTTCGAAACCCACTAAGACGACTCGCCAGGGCCTCGCAGCCAAAGCCCTGCAGCAAGCACAAGAGCAGCTAAGGCACGGCCAGGGCGCAGCCAGCCAGGGCGCCCCCCCGCTGGACCCAAGCGCAGTGGCACGGCGTGCAAAAAGCGACGGAAAAGGGACCGAACAGGGACGCTCGGAGGGTGCCTAACGGTACCTTCGAAACCCACTAAGAAGACTCGCCAGGGCCTCGCAGCCAAAGCAAGGGCGCCCTCCGCTAGACCCAAGCGCAGTGGCACGGCGTGCAAAAAGGGACCGAAAAAGAGCCGAAAATTGAGGCTTGGAGGGTGCCTAACGGTACCTTCGAAACCCACTAAGAAGACTCGCCAGGGCCTCGCAGCCAAAGCCCTGCAGCAAGCACAAGAGCAGCTAAGGCACGGCCAGGGCGCAGCCAGCCAGGGCGCCCTCCGCTAGACCCAAGCGCAGTGGCAGGGGTGCAAAAAGGGACCGAAAAAGAGCCGAAAATTGAGGCTTGCAGGGTGCCTAACGGTACCTTCGAAAACCACTAAGACGACTCGCCAGGGCCTCGCAGCCAAAGCCCTGCAGCAAGCACAAGAGCAGCTAAGGCACGGCCAGGGCGCAGCCAGCCAGGGCGCCCCCGCGCTGGACCCAAGCGCAAAAGCGACGGAAAAGGGGCCGAACAGGGACGCTCAGAGGGTGCCTAACGGTACCTTCGAAACCCACTAAGAAGACGCGCCAGGGCCTTGCAGCCAAAGCAAGGGCGCCCTCCGCTAGACCCGAAAAAGAGCTGAAAATTGAGGCTTCGAGGGTGCCTAACGGTACCTTCGAAACCCACGAAGAAGACTCGCCAGGGCCTCGCAACCAAAGCCCTGCAGCAAGCACAAGAGCAGCTAAGGCACGGCCAGGGCGCAGCCAGCCAGGGCGCCCTCCGCTAGACCCAAGCGCAGTGGCACGGCGTGCAAAAAGGGACCGAAAAAGAGCCGAAAATTGAGGCTTGCAGGCCTAACGGTACCTTCGAAACCCACTAAGAAGACTCGCCAGGGCCTTGCAGCCAAGCAGCTAAGGCACGGCCAGGGCGCAGCCAGCCAGGGCGCCCCCCCGCTGGACCCAAGCGCAGTGGCACGGCGTGCAAAAAGCGACGGAAAAGGGACCGAACAGGGACGCTCGGAGGGTGCCTAACGGTACCTTCGAAACCCACTAAGAAGACTCGCCAGGGCCTCGCAGCCAAAGCAAGGGCGCCCTCCGCTAGACCCAAGCGCAGTGGCACGGCGTGCAAAAAGGACCGAAAAAGAGCCGAAAATTGAGGCTTCGAGGGTGCCTAACGGTACCTTCGAAACCCACGCAAGGGCCTCGCAGCCAAAGCCCTGCAGCAAGCGCAAGAGCAGCTAAGGCACGGCCAGGGCGCAGCCAGCCACGCTCGGAGGGTGCCTAACGGCACCTTCGAAAACCACTAAGAAGCGCAGTGCAGACTAGCCAGAGCCCGGCAGCCACAGCCTCGCAGCAAGCACGAGAACCGCCGAGGCAGGGCGACAGAGAGAGAGCAGCAGCAAACACCATTGCAGCGACCGACCAGCCTGGCAGAAAGCTAGCGCACCTACGGCCATTCGATGGGACCTTCGGTGTCCCAGGCGCCGCCCCGCCTGAGCAGGTCGGCGGATTCTTATGACGCCAGTGAGGCTCCAGTGATGCTGAAAAGGTTCTGAATTGAGTATGGCCATACTGCTGATGCTGCCGTTGGCTTTCCTGCATTGATCCTTACACAATGCATTGATGCTACCAATGCTGCTCAAGGAATATGGACGATAATGTCATCCGTGAGTAATTGTCGATGTCCACCTTAATCTATGAGGACATTCGATGAACTCACTGAATTTCCATGTCAGTTGTAAGCACAGAGAAATTGCCACTGTCGCTTATGCAAAGGGTAATGTCTCTGACCTGAGGCTCACACACGCAGACCCACACACCTACGCCATATTTTAGTTCTAGCCCGAGTTTGCGCATGACACGTACTGACTTTTGAGCAGGTCAGAGGCGGGTGTCCTGCCCCACAGCCATGGAGCATGAAGCAATTCTGCAGTGCGGCCCAAACCTCGGTCCGGCCTGACCCTGAGGATGCGCACAGAGCACTGAGATGGACAGCGCACAGAGCCTTGATTTGATCTATTCGCTAGGCGTGGCCAAGTGCTGAGGCCAGTGGTTGAGTTTGGGCACATGGCAGCCTGACCGCACCAGGCGTCTGAAAGTTTGCAGCTGGCAAGAGGCCTTGTCCATATTCAGCCATCATCTTAGTTCCGTTTTGCAGATATGACAAACTGATGGGACGCGGAGCTGCAGAGATGCATGTGCGCTGACCCCGGCCGCACTGAAATTCAAGGCGAACTGCGGCAGGAGGGTGCGCTCAGCGCAGCCCTGTTCACTGCGCTCAGCTCCGCACAGCGGCGTGCGGCCCGCAGGGCTGCCTAGTCACGTCTCCGGCGTCTTCGTGCGTCACAGTCACCAGACGCGCGCGACGGAGGTTGGGAGGGGGCGGTGCAGCTGTTGGAGCAGATGCCCAAGGCCAAGTCCGGCTGCACGTCCGGCTGCATCGCGTCCGGCTGCATCGCGTGCGGCTGCATCGCGTGCGGCGTGCGTAGGATGCCATCCGGCCGGATGTGGTGAACTTCAATGTCCGCTGCACAGACTTGACTCATCTTGACTCGTCTTGACTCGGAGAGCGCGCTGCATGCCTTCAAACGCTTGAACTCGGAAACGCTTTCAGGCGACCATCAGTGCTTGCAGTGCTGCAAGCCAGTGGCCGGCAGCCATCGCGCTTTTGCAGAGCATGCAGATGCAGCAGGCGCTGACTCGTCTTCGCGTCCGAATCTTGTTGGCTTTTTTTTCTTCTGTTTTGTCTTTGACCGAGCGTATTGCCGTGGGAGCTAGGTGAGTGGAGACCTCATCAGCTTCTTGGCTTCAATACGTTTTGCTTCTCAACCAGCGCGCTTGGAGCAAGGCTACAACGCCACCATGTCTGCCTGTGACCATGCCGCCGCCTCCCCGGTCTGTCAGTTGCAAACCCTCGGCCCGTCTGAAATCCGCAGGCAGAGACCACGCAGGCTGCGCCGCCGCCTGAGAGTTTCGAAGTGTTTTGCGCCGGATTTGGCCGCCGGAATCCCAGAGACTCGGACTCCCGAACCGTCAGGAAGTGCATGTTGCTCATGCGCGCAGCTGCCGTTCAGCCGGATGCCACAAGCCTGGAGCTGAGCAACGCGCATGCAGTGGCCGGGCGGAGTCAATGGCAAGGCTACAGCACCCTGATGAGCGCCATCACGCGTTCTGGGGATTGGCGGGCAGTGTGCAGAGCTTGGGATTTCTCTCCTGGCGCTATGCAACACTTTGCATCGCTGGCGGGGGTTGCAGGAGTTAGGTCTGGCCATGCGCAACTTTTTAACTCAACAGTCCAGGGTCCACCCTAGGTGTTTTTTGCATTTTTTGAATAAGCGCCCCAAAACAGCCATTTTAAAACATATTTTGAAACAGTCTAAACACATTTTGATAAATATATTTTTGTTTTTATTTATTACAGCATACCAAAACTAAAAATGACATATTGTTTGGAAAAAACAATACACCTAAACATTGTTATGTTCAAAAACACATATTTCCCAAAATATTTGAGAAAATATATATTTTCAAAAGAGATAAATAGATATATCGCATTTTAAGAAGAATTATTCAATAAGAAACAACATTTTCAATAATTCAATGAGAAGACTTAATAATTAATCATGTTTCAACATTTGGATATTCCGAAGTTGCGCGTGGTGCTCCTTGTATGGTTTTATTATCAGTATATAAAACGCCATACTTACATTATAATTATAACATATAAGGGTATAAATGTTACAATCATAGTATGGTGTATGGACTAATCAACAAATCACAGATATCTTAATAATGTGAGCCCACCGTAAATCCAAAAAGCAAGCTATGTTAATCCAAAAAACAAGCTATGTTAATCCAAAAAACAAGCTATGCTAATCCAAAAAGCAAGCTATGTTAATCCAAAAAACAAGCTATGTTAATCCAAAAAACAAGCTATGCTAATCCAAAAAGCAAGCTATGTTAATCCAAAAAACAAGCTATGCTAATCCAAAAAACAAGCTATGTTAATCCCAAAGACAAGCTATGTTAATCCAAAAAAAGCTATGTTAATCCAAACAACAAGCTATGTTAATCCAAAAAAACAAGCTATGTTAATCCAAAATACAAGCTATGTTAATCCTTAGTCCGTCAAACTCACTAAGATTTCACAAACTAATTCGCTAGGTATTTTATATAGGTCTTCTTGCTTATGTATTGTTGGGTTGTCTCCCCATTTTTCCTTGGTGCCCGATGGTAGCCGTTGTGCTGTTTCAATATGTTTATTATTCCTGATGTTGCCACAATCCTTTTTACATAAATCTCTAGGTTTCCAAGTTGTAATGTTATTCCAGAGCCTAGTGCGTTTTCTGTAAGGCATTCCATATTTACAATAATCAACATCTTTAAATTCAAACTCATCCATAAACTCCTGATTTTTCAATAATCCAGTTTGTAGATTTCGATTACAAAATATGTTACATTGAAGTATTTTTTACTAATCTCAATAGTTTTTAAGACAATACTATTTGCATAATCGATTTTCCTAATTCCTCTAGTTCCCCAAACAGCGAAGCATTGGGGTTCTAACTTGAGGTATAGAGAATGGGAAAGTGTGACGCCGATTCCGGGGTCCTGTTTTCTGCTTGTCTTCCTGTCTCCCAGTCTCTCTGGTCAGATGCCAGATGCTGTGACGCCGGCTCCAGGGTTGTGTCTCCCGCTTGTGCCCCTGTGTCTCCCAGTCTCTGCGGTCAGACGCCAGATGCTGCAATGCTTACAGCCCTCAACAGGGTCCGGAAAAATGAAGGTACCGGGCAAAACCAACTGAACCTGTTTCTTCTTACCCAGTTTTGAGCCTGGCTTGCTTGGCATCCAGTAACCCGTTCGGCTCCCTTCGGCTCCCTTCGGCTCACGTGGCAGCAGGAACCACTTGTAACAATGCTTCGCAACGGGGAAAGGGCATGTCGCAGATTTTGCTGCTAGCCTGTGTGCAAAGGATGTGCCTCTCTCTTGGCCCAGCGCAGGTTTGCATCCTTGTGGAGCATCGCTGGAGCTAGAAGCAAGCAATTTCGAGCCTTATTTTTCTCGATAAACAAACAAATCGTGACATCCGGCTGATTGCTAGGAAGCTGAGCTCCTTTTTAGAAGCCAGTGCCGCACTTCTTGGTCAAGTGCAGGTTTGCATCCTTGTGGCGCACCAGCAGGGCCCTTATGTTTCTCGATAAAAAACAATTATATAGTGACATCCGGCTGATTGCTTTTTGGAAGCAGTGCCGCACTTCTTCGTCAAGTGCAGGTTTGCATCCTTGTGGTGCATCAGGAGAGCCCTGCCGAGCCTTAAATATGTAGACTGGTTTCGATAGACAAATACGGCGAATACAGAGCTGCTTTTTGGAAGCCAGTGCCGCACTTCTGGGCCAAGTGCAAGTTTGTATCCTTGTGGCGCATGCTGAGCTCGAGCCTTAAATGCTTGGTCAAGTGCAGGTTTGCATCCTTGTGGCGCATCAGCTGAACAAATACCGTGACATCCGGCTGATACTGAGCTGCTTTGTGGAAGCCAGCGCCGCACTTCTTGGTCAAGCGCAGGTTTGCATCCTTGTGGCGCATCAGCAGGGGCCCTGTGTCCATTTTCTTGATAACCAAATATACATGCGCCTGATTGCTTTGCTGAGGATTCTGAGCTGCTTTTTGGAAGCCAGTGCCGCACTTCTTGGCCAAGTGCAAGTTTGCATCGTTGCGCATCAGCAGAGCCCTGTCAACAAGAAAGGGTGCTCGAACTTCAGTGATGCTACCAAGAGGAGACTAGAAGACGGGTGGCCCGAAAGCATGAGCAGCGCGCGGCGCCAAGTAATCCTAGCAAGTTCTCTGCGCAAGTTCCTCTGAGCAAGTTGTTGGCCCGATTTTTTTGATTAAGTTCTCCAGGCAAGTTCTTGGCACAAATTATCTGAGCAAGTTCTCTCAGCAACTTGAATCCTGAGCAAAGCAATCAGGCGGATGTCACGGTATTTGTTTATCGAGAACAACAGTACATATTTAAGGCTCGGCAGGGCTCTGCTGATGCGCCAGAATGCAAACCTGCGCCTGACCAACAAGTGCGGCGCTTCCAAAAAGCAGCTCAGAATCCTGAGCAAAGTATTTGTTTCTCGAGAACGAAATGGACACATGTACCGCGACGCTTTTTCCTCACCTATGCAATCCAGTCCCACTGACAAACGAAACGCATTTTGCTGAAGCGTTTCACACCTGGCAGGGTCGCAGCTTTGACATATCTCGTTCAGAAGGTTGGAAGACGGATTTCTCAGCCTTGTTTCCACATATTCCGCAATATGGACGCTGCTGTTTTGCACGTGTCTGAAAGTGCCAGGACTTGCAAGTGCGAGGGCTCAAGGGTTTTCATGGCGGGACGTCGTAAGGTGCCATCCTCTGAGGCGCTAGCTTCCCTACAGTCTCTGGACCCATGGAACACCAAAGCGGTCAACGTGAGCCGTATTGCATGGCGCTTGTGCTAGCCTCCGCCGTGGGTATTTTTGGAAATCCGAGCAATTCCATTTCATGCTCGCAATCAGTTTCTTTTCCGAGACCTCGACTTGAATTTGGCAGCTCCGGGCGAGATTCTGATCTACTTGCTCGCAGCATACGTGGCTTGTCGGGCAACCAAGCTGGAGGGATGTGAAGACCAACACGTGCTACAGACATGGCCCATCCATTTCTTCTTTGACGACTCAGCTTCGCCTCCACTACGCCTTGAACATCGGTTCCGAGCGTGGCGAACTCCCCAGCAACATTACGGAACGGCGGCTCTGGTGCTCAATGTGGTGATTGCAACAGGGAGATTTTGGGGTCCCATCAACAAGAGCCGTTTCGCCAATCGCAGAGTGGCTTGGTGGTTTCCTGGTTATACTTGCTCTTGGAGATCTGCTGTGCTATCGCAGAAAACGACGAGCGAACGCACAGTCAAGCAGGCGTGCTTATCATCTTGTTGCATCGTAAGGGGGGGGCCCGCTCCAAGGTTATTCTGAACGGTTTGAAGAAAGAATTGTCCTGGAAGTATAGGCTGGGTGAGTCGGGCGTAAAAGTTGTTTGCATCGTAACTGCACTTGTCGAGTTCTCCTCGAAAAACTTGGTTGATGCATAGGAGCTCCTGACAACTTGGAAAGAGTTCACGAGCCCGGCCAGTCGATTACAGTGCTGCTGGAGCTGAGTGAACGCAAGGCCCAGAAGTTGTTGCCAGCGGCGTGCGTTGGAATGACGGTTTACCACACATGTGAACACCAATCTGCGAACCATAAGCACCAACTCCAAGATGAACCCGGCCAAGCTGGTGGTGTCCACTGTGCAGCCAGCATTGGTAGTTGGGGCAAAGTTCTCACACGTTTCCAAGATGGAGCAGGGCTGGAGCTGACGTTCAAAGCCAAGCTTGTTCCAGAATGGAGCGGTGTTGGGCGCATGGAGCAAAGCCATGAGTTGGCCATCTTGGGAGCGCACGGCGCGCTGGACACGAAAGAGATGAAGGCCCTGGATGACCTAGCTACTGCCGGCTCAAACACTGAGGATTTTCTGGAGCTGTGCAGGTTGACAGAGGTGTGTGCCAAGCGGGCACCTTTGCTGACGCTTGCCAATTTGGCGCGGCGTGTGTCTGCGTTGCTAGGCGAGGATGTCCCGGCCGTATCGCTACAAGGCGCAGTCTGCAAGTTTATGCAAGTGCTCTCTTGCTTTGCTTGTGGCAAGACCTTTAGCCGAGCTCGAAGAAGATAGCAACCAGAAGTGGCATGCGTGCAGTCTCGGCCGCAGGCTGCTGAGACTGATGCGCAAATTGCAGCAGAGTAGCGGGACGGCCACCAAATGCTGCGGTGATGGAAAAGCGCATAATTGAGTGTCCGTACTACGAAAGGTCGAAGCTTCCTTTGATTATTGCCAGGTGTTAGGTTGATTCACCCCGAATCCCCGGGGCCTTCACTCTCGAACATGGCATTGACATGGAATTGTCTCTCCGAAGGATGGATCCGATGTGGGGACTTCCTGCAGGGACGCACATGGACTGATTGTAGCTATGTGTTGCTCACAGAAGCTACTCAAGTTTGCACCTTACATAAAGGGGACAAGCCTTGTTTTTGGGGGGGTTATACAGACTTGTCATGCATTTTTGCTGTTTGGGGTCGAGGCTGGTGTAAGTTTTGCTACACCGTATTCAGTGCATGGGGGACTACTCCAAAT